AACTCCAGCCCCATGTCCAGCCAAGTGCGAAAATAAATTAAATGAGCATGGTCGTAGAGTGTCCTGCCCACTTTCCGCAGAGTACGGCCACAGCTTGTCCACGGTGGTGGTTGTGAGCATTGGCAGGGCAACCATGGCTGTGAAAATGCTAGCGTGCTGGGACGTGCACACGTCGTTCACCCCCATCTAACTGCGAGGGGAATGCTTTGGAACGAGTAGTAGTCCCAAATGTCCCCCATACAAGCTTTCAGCACAAAGACTTGCCCTGTTGTTTGAAAGTTGCTGCCACCTTCCACACATGCCTCTGCTGCTATGTGTCCCCCACCGTCGCAACCGCGGGGTTCATCCCGGCCCGCAATTGGGATCTCAACTGCAGCAGCAGACTGCTGTGGTTGGGTCGCGGCCGCGGGTCTTCCGGGATTATTCCCCAGTTAATAAATGGGGAAAAAAAACAAAAAAAAGGGAGGTTGTAGGGTTTCTCAGACCCTACAACCCCATTTACTTCTTTTTTCCAACCGCTGATTATTTGGTATTTTACAAACCATAAAAAATGGAAACTGAAAAAAAAATAGATGAGAATACACATGTGTGTATGTGTGAGCGAATGTGTGTGTTGTCATATTCGCTATACATTAAAAAAAAGCACGACTGTACCAGACTGTTTCGTCGGACTTTCACCGACTGTGTGTGTACGTGTGTGTGTGTGTGTGTTCGTGCGTGAGCGTGTGTGTATGTGTGTATGTGGGCGTGTGTGTGTGCACCTGCAAGGGAAGGGGGGCAGGGCAACCCCTCCCCCGCCAGTCAATCAATCAATCAAGATTTTTTTTTTTTTTTAATTGTTTTTGACCCACAGGCTTTGCTTTTGATTTGCGCCTATTGACCCGGGCCCACCGGGTCCACCTCCGGAGACAGGATTGCTTTTGATTTGCGCCTATTGACCTGGGCCCCCAATACTTACAGGACGTGTCCATGTCCTTCTCCAACAGTGTCACCTGGTGGGCTGTTGGGGAGAGATTCCTGCCCGTGTCATCTTCAAAGGCCACCTTTTGATAGGCTTGGCAGAACAGATAGAAGCACAAGCAGCCCAAAGAGCCACCGCTCGTGGTACCAGTGTCAATTACCACTATCGACCACGACTGACTGGGCAAGGCATGACTTGGCGAGGTCTCTATCACAAACAAGGCAAGCCATGCACAGCCTTGTGTTGAGGTGTCTATCAACGACAAGACAAGGCTTGTGGTATCAGTGTCAGCTGCACACGGCAGTCGGCGACAAGGCAAGACATGCACAGCGGGTTCCTCTTTTTTCAATTCACCAATTGTGTGGACAAGCGGAAAACCACAGCAGCGGGGCGGGGAAGGCTGGACGAAGCCAGTTGTTGTTCAGGGAGTGCACTCCACCTGAAATGGTAAAAGGGCGGTACAAGGGTATTGAAGATGGCAGTTGCTCAGGAGATTAAACCATGACTGCCCCCAAGAACCAGAAATGCTAACATTTTTCAAAAATAAGCATTCTGACCTCGGCACACAGTTCTGAAACAGCCTCGGGTGGAGGTGTCGCAGGGGACCCCGCGGACCTCACTCATTTTGGGACACAATGTCCATCCATTTCTTTTCCGCCCTCCGCTGTTGCTGTTGCACATGGAGAAACACAAAGTAGTGTCGGCGCTAAAAGGAAATGAATCAATAGAGGTGTCGCAGGGGACCCCGCGGACCTCACTCATTTCGGGACACGATGTCCATCCATTTCTTTTCCACCCTCCGCTGTTGCCTCCGGCCGGTAGTTTCATCATCAGAGCCTCCCACATTCGACGGGGAGACGGTCAAACCTAGTATCGATGAATTCCCACATTATGTGCACCATCGTTCAGCAGGGGTTAATCTTCTCTGTACCTTTCCGATTTTAACAGATGTCCCGGAAGAGGACCTCCCCCAGGGCGTGCAAGTACTTATAACATGCCTTGTCTCCCCAACTATGGGGGGGCTGCAGAGAGAGAGAGAGAGAGAGAGAGAGAGAGAGAGAGAGAGAGAGAGAGCCCGGCACCTACGTCTTCCCCCAACCACGCTTATGTACGGGGGACGACCGAGGCACCCGTAATCTCTCTCTCTCTCTCTCTCTCTCTCTCTCTCTCTAACTTCTCCCGAACACTGCCCTCAGTTCGGTTCAGCAGACCGGAAAGACAACTTGTGTTACATTTTGAAGGCAGTGTATATACCTATACTTCACCGCCAGATTGATTCTCATTTTTGCACATTTAGTGAGTAATGGAGTGAGGCCCAATGCAGCACAATTCTGGCTCTCACTCCAATATTCACCAAACATGGGAAGATACACCGACGTACGTTTTTGTGTACTATGCATGTCATGAGTAGTGGAGCAAGGCGCATAATATCATAAAAATACAAATGAAGGAAACTAGTTGCTATGTGTGTGGTCGAGCTGTAGAATGTGACTGTGGTAGAAGTAGTGGTAGGAAGGTCGTGAAAGGCAAAAAGAATTTGACAGAGGAACATAACGTTGGTAAAAAAAAAAAAAAAAAAGGTTTTCTCAACTCAAACGCATCTGGTGGGACCAGGCCCCTGAAATGGATGGTGATGACAACCACAGATACCACTAAATACTCGAAAGACAAAAAATCAAAATCAGCAAACTAAATTTGCCCCGACATCAGTCGGAATGGGAATGCTTAGTGATTGCCATCCCTTTCCTTGTTTATCTTCTTTAGTACCCCTACTAGAGCACTTTTCCTCTTCCCTGGTGTCAGCCCGCTACTTTCTTGTGACCAAACTATGAACAGGTCTACTGCTTTGGGTGGGAAAAACCACTGGCCCGACGTGACAGAGAGGTGAAGAGGATCAGGTGCAGACGACTGGACAGATATTCGCAGGTTCTCTAGAAGAATAGGGTTGGGATCACTGGCGTTTTAAACCACCAGTACACTCGGAGACGGCAGGCCGCTTCCTGCGCGCCAAGACTTTCCAAGCCGCCAGCGGTGCACTTTTCTTCTTTTTTGGTTGGCAACTTGACGCCACCAGCCATCATGGTCCAGCAGGCCAAGCCTCCGAATTATCGTAAGCTAAAAGTTTCTTTTCCAGCAAGGCTGCGGTCGTGTACTGGCGGTGCAACGAGTGAGGACAAACGTGGAACAACCCAGGCCACTTAGTCTGGGCTCCGGTCGGTGAAGCGATGGGGGTGAGGGAGGGGACAAGCACATGAGAGCGCCAGACAGGATGGAGAGTTCATTTTGGGTGAACGTCGAGAACGAAGACACATTTGAACTTCGAGCTTTGACGACAACTTTTCAACTTCAACATCGCTTTAATCGATATCAAATTATCAATCCATATCAGAGAAACAAAACCCTTTCTACGGTACTGGTGACCCGAATGGACCTCTGCACTCCAATCGGAGGGTAAATCTCTTGGTCTCGTCTCCTTTTCCAGTTTTACACTGTACCAACACTAGCGAGCCTCCAAAATACCGTTCAGCTGCACTGTCTGGAACGTGACCCATCTTCTGCCTGACAATTGGATATTCTGTACCACCTCGACATAGCGTTCAGTGCGTAAACCAGCAGTTCGAATGGAAGTCATTTTTTCTCGTTGTCACGGTGTGCATGCTGCTTCGGCTCTTGGGACGTGCCGGGGCGCCGTTTAGCGACTCAGAAACACCCGTTGTGCTGCCAAACGGCGCCCTGACACTTCCCAAGAGTCACAGTAGCATGCACACCGTCGACTCTGAAATAATGGCTGGCAAGCGTACTGGTGATTTTACTACCGAAATGCTTTACATTTTTCCGATTGTCATATGGGTTTCAGATTATTGTGGAAGAGAATATGCTTCGCACCCTAAAATCTCCCTGTGCGCCAAAGAAAAGTGAACCGCCACAGACCCCATTTTGGCTGGCACCGCCAGCCATTTCGTTCTGGTACCCAAGACCCCCGAAAGATGCCACCGCAAGCCTCCGCATGGCCCTGCACGCCAGCAAAAATACGAACCGGTGCAGGCCTCATTTCGGCTGGAGCTGCCAGCCATTTCGCTCCGGTGCCCGAACCCACGAAAAAATGCGGGTGAATACCGCCACATGCCTATTTTTCCAGAGTGGAAAGGTGCTGACGCCACATACCTATTCTCAGAGGGGAGAGGTACTGACTGGTCGGTTTAGTGCAAGAGCAACGTACCACGGCAAAAAAATTTACACCAAGCGCTTCACATTTTCTACTTGGTCCTGCGTTTTGTCTTTATTTGCAAGACCACTATGCTTTTGTACCACCTCAAAAGATCCATTTACACCAAGTGCTTAACTACTGAAATTGCTTCACCATTTACACAGATTTAACAAGAACATTAAGATGGGTCATCGATGACATAACATCCCTCCCAACACAGCACCTCCCCCCCCCCCCCCCCCCCCCCCCTTATGACCAACTATTGTCTCATTGTAATTATTTCTGGTGAACGGAGCACATTGCCATGCGCACTTGAGCAAGAAATAGCAAACAGCAAAACCCCTTAACAGTCATTATTCATCCCTCGGCAGTTATTATCTACCTTTCGTTTGCATCTTGGCAGTCATAATTTACCAACTGGCAGAAATTATTTGCACCTTCGCTCAAGTTGGCAGTACATTCTTCACGCATCACGCAGAGAACCCTGAGCACGCCAGGACAAGCTTCCGGGCCCTTCCTGTTAAAACACTTTTGACAGAACGACGCATCCACAGATTAGACGCACATAACAATCGTTTAAAAGCGACGAAAAAGAGGCGCATAGCAGGCGAGCGGCCTAGCTCAGTTGGTAGAGCGCACAAGTGGCATGCAGGAGGTCGAGGGTTCGATTCCCCGCATTGTCCACATTCGATCCCCCACATCCCCCTGCAGCGCACTTCAGGTTCACCCACCAGCTGAGATAGTTGGCTTGGACCCCCCTCGCTGGTCATGGCAGGAGTAATAAGAGTCTTACCATCCCCCCTCAGTAGGGGTTCGGAGGAGCCTGGGTACTATTCCCAGCACAGAGTGGCCTTGCTAGCGATGTCCTGATGAGCGCCCCGTTTGTCTTTTCGCTACTAACGTCCTGGTCGTTCGAGGAACCAATGCCCCGGTGGTCTGAAGTGCAAAACATCGAGACAAAAAATACAGCTATCCCCTGATGAAGAGAGGACAGCTTCGAAGAATAAAAAGAAGAATAAAAAGCGGTACTGGTAAAAAGAGAGACAGAACAAACGTAGAGTCAGAGAGTCGAATTCTATAGGAATAAAAAACATGAGGGATACAAACTCCCCATCATATATGTCAACCTAATGCAAAAGAGTGAGCCCTCCAGGCTTCCGTACGCATCGGCTTTGCACAGGTGACAGACAGTAAGAACTCAGTCCAAACTTTGCGAGAAACATCTCTGCCTGTTTCCGCCTACGACATGGTGGATTGTTTAGACCTGGCAAACAAAGCTGTTGTTCCCATAAAACTTGATAAAAGCGGAGGCCTCACCTTGCACCGCTGGCCTCTTTTCGTACTAGTAAAATTGGTTAATCACGACTAACGCCGACGGTAGGCCAAATGCGATTAAGCCTGGATTGGATTTTTTAACACAAAGGCAGGAAAATGCAAAACCTGAGTCGAAAACAACAACGAAAAAAAAGAAAACCACATCTTGAAAACGACATCCGTCCAGCCTAAACTCTGTGCCTAACAATCTGATGAGCCTCACGTACACCAATCGACCGAGCAGTAGCTCCACCGTCAGCATTCTTCTTTCCTACATTGTTTGCTGTGGGTGGGAAACCTTCCTTGCAACGGATTCTGTGCTGCTTTCGATAACCAACAGAGTACCAAGAATAACAAAAGACCACTATACTATCTCCACAACAATAAACTACCAACCTTAGCAGAATGATGATAACTAGGAATGAGTCACTATAGACAAGGTTTGACGATACATTCCAGATGGCGACAACTCAGGCTCAGCACTTCCACTTCGTTGTCCAAGGTCGTCCGATGTCCACCGCTATCAGCCCCTCTGGAGCTTTCTACAGGTACTCTTTTCTCACCGTGCTCTTTCCTACATCTGCCTTTCAATACAAGACCACTGCACCAACAAGAAAGGGAACACACAACTACGCATGACCATTACGTCTATGAGCTCGGAGACTCCTGCACAACTCTAATGACCTCGGCGCAGGAACGAGAGAGATTTGGGGGGGGGGAGACAGGAGAGGTGATGGAAAGAGTGAAGCGATTGACAACACACTTCGCGAAGAAGCTTTTCCTACAACGTTCCATTTGAGCCTTGTGACAATGCTCCCAGTCTTTAAGGGCAGCAAAAATCAACACAGTGCAATCACAGCCCCCAAAACAGGGGACTTAACAAAGCACTGTTTCCTTCCACAGCAGCATAGGATCGAATCCACAGTTAAAAAATAAAAACTAAAAATAGCACTCAGCTGACAGTCCTGTGCGCGTCGTACGTGAGCTGATGCTTGTGGCACAGACACCAAGTGCCAGTCCTGTGAGCGTTGTACGTGAGCTGACAGTCCTGTATATAGAGCCCTCTGTTTGCAAATGAACACAGGAACCGGTCTTCAAACAGAAGGGCCACCCTGCCAGAGTTTATTCCGTTTGTTTCCGCGGTTGAGGATGGAAGAACAAAAGAAGAAGGAAGACATGACGTAAACATGAAATTGTTATGTATTCGCTTTCACAAGCCACACACTTTTACAAGCTCAGCAGCCCCTTTCTCTCTACCCTAGATGAAAACATCTACTACTCTCCAGTAGTAGCTACGCTGAACCTTTGACAGAGAAACACCTGCCAATCGGCCAAGACGCTCATCCCGGAGAATCTTCAGATCAAAGACCCAAAAGAGATGATAGCTCTAGATTGTTCTAGTAGCTTAGTACAATCCTGAAAAGATTACCTTCCATGTACACAGGCAGACAGATACACCATTGTCATTGCCAGAGAGATGCAGCATGGATTTCGATGGCTGCCAATTAACCTGAGAGACTGTTGTAGAGTCTCTTCAGCTGAGGGCAAACTTCCCTGATATGAGTCAGCACAGCCGGAGTCACCTGTTTACACAAACACCACCACGAAACATTCGACATTGTGTAACATCTCCGAGACATCCGTAACCTGGATAGTGCAAAGAGGACCTCCCACTTCTTTTCCTTTATAATTTTCCCTCACCACATGCAACATTTCTTTGTTTTCCCCCTCACCACAGGAACTGGGTTCAAGCCTTTGCCCAAGGAAATCTCAGAATGTGATGGGCACTGGGTCCCATACACCTAAAGCCCTAAAGGCGCCGCCCGTCAACGCATAAGGGCCGCAGCCGACTTATGGCCCAAGTACTGGTGCGTACGGTCATGCTTTCATTATTAAATTGCAAAAGATAAACACACGGACCGATGTTGCACTACAAGTCACCAGTTATCTCCCCTCGAGAAGTCTCCTCCTGAGCACCCATCGAGCAGCCATCCTGGAAAACGGTTGAGCTGCGAAACATTTCACTCTCTGAACGGTCTTTGCGAGGCAAACGTGTAGCGACATACCAGCATGTCAACCAAGCAGCTGGCTGACAGAGTTCCTATTTCTCGGTACGACAATAATGCTTGCGAGTCTGTAAGTAGAGGACACCCAGTTGAGAGGTGCATATACCCAAACACAACTGAACAGTCTAACTAAGTCACTGGAGCCGCCACCAAACACATCAGTTCATGCTGGCGCGTACTTGTAGGCTCACAATTACAAGTCCTGCTTCAAACCTTATGCATCTTTCTGTTATCGTATTTTGGTGATGATCTTCTGAAAATTTATCACATTTACGGCTGGCCTCACGCTACTTTCATAGATAGGATAAGCAAAATCGAATGAATCTTTCGCTATAACATAGAAATATACGCTATTACACTTGCGTGTGTGTGTGTGTTTGAGAGAGAGAGAGAGAGAGAGAGAGAGAGAGAGAGAGAGAGAGAGAGAGAGAGAGAGAGAGAGAGTGTGTTGTTCAACCATGCACGCAAAGAAACAGAGAGAGGCTTCATCCATCGATAGGATGAGCAGAATTGGAATGAATAATCAAACCTTACGGAGTAGTCATATGCATGGTAAGAGGACTATAGCACCAATCATGACCACTAATCAATTAACACTTGAGACCACAAACAGATAATAAGGAGTGCAACCCTCGTTCTGTGTTGCTAAGAAATCGCAACGATGTGCCTCGTTTTTTGTGATGCTGCGGTGCGTTGCACTCACAAAGACCTCCCAGTGATGTACTAAAGGAAGCTTGGGATAACACAAGTCCGCATGGATGCTGTTGGCACTTGTAATAGAGGACTTCTTGGCATCTTGGTTCATCCCATAACTGAAAGGGTCGAGAGTGAAAGAGTGTGTTGTGTCCGGAAGAAAGGGGCGTACCTTACAACAGTTGCGGACATCCAGCGTCTCAAGGGCAGCGCAAGATCTCACAGCCTGTCTCAAAACCTCAACCTCAATGCAGCAGGCCTGCAGAGCAACCATTCATCCAGACTCTCAGAAGTGTCACGCCCATCACGCTATACTGACAAACCATGAAATTGAAGCAAAAAGCACAGAAGAACGAGGAAGGAAAATCCCCTGCTGCTGACAAAGCAAGTAAACAGCGGCGATTTTGCAAGGCAGGGTACAGGGGATCTAAATCCAGCAAAGACGTGTGATTTAACGTTCATAAAAAGGCCGAAAGGAGGAGGTAATGTTGATTCATGATATAAACATCAACATCATCTCTAGCTCTCACCTTCGTGTAGCCGCCAAAACAACAAAATAAGATAGCCCTGTCGGGCACAAGCATGGAAAAGCTGTGAAGAGAAACGACCAGTGACAAAGACCCTTTCAACCCCATGTGGAAGCAACCCCCTTCGCCCCCGCTATAAGACTTTCAAATATAGCACCCCGATCATTCTACTGAAAAAAAATATAATGTCCGAGCACTATGTCCGAGCACTAAAGGGGTGTTATATTTTTAAGAAGTGACTTACGAAAACGCAGACCTTAGCTCAATATAACCCAGCAGGGCTACCGGCGAGCCCGGCCAGATTATCTTGTTTGCCCGGGTCGCACATCCGTGCAAGGACCAAAGAAGATCCCAGCAAAAAAAAAAAAAAGCCGGAAAATCAAAATGTTATGCAGAAAAATAAACTCAACAACTTTTGCCCCAGGGCCACATTGAGATTCCTTATACCCAATTTCACAACAAAAACGAAAGAATTAAAAAACTTCCTTCTTTTAAATCTGTTTTGTCCCGGCCGGGCAGGTGGTCCCGTGCCACGTGCTTTCGCGCAGTAACCGCTGTAGAGATTATGCTACAGGCAGTGTGGCTGCGTAGGGGTGAGTGTGGTTGGGTACACCGTGTCGCGGGATCTCCGTGCTGGGGTGGGGTGAAGTGCTCATCTTGGGGCTTCACTTTCACCCCAGCCCACTTAGCCTTATGGCTTTCGGATTACACTCTGGTAGCCTTGATGCCCAGGCATTATTCTCAGGCGCAGATGTCCCTCTGTTCACGATTGAAAGCGACCTGGATTCTAGATGTGATCGAAACACCAGCACCTCAGCTTGAGCTTTGATTGCTTTAATGCTGCCTTAACATCACATCCTTCCTTGGGCTCCCGCATGGTACGATTACAGGCACTGCCTGCGCACCACCAAAGAGTTCTCCACGGTGTTGTATGTTGGTTCTGGGTTCTGCAGGGGATGCTTGGGGGTGTTGGTCTTGGGTGTTCTGTTGATATCCCCAGTCTGGAATATCACACGTTCGTGCCATTTCCGATAGTCGTTCACACGGTAGAGTCATTTGATTACATGTTACAAGGTCACGGGTTCGAGCTTGGTTCGGACCTTGGGGGGGGGTCCTTGTCCAGCTTGCCCCGTTCTCCCCTCGTAATACACACATGACGCTGTCTGTACATCTCGATACATAGATTCACAGAGCATACACAGCGTCCAGGCATACACATAGCTTGTGAACTACATATCGCCTACGGGCTACATACACATGTTTCCGCATGCGCGTATATACATACTATAATATGAGACTGGGGGGCTCTAGTCACTGGGTGGGGTGTAGTATCTGCAGTAGGTTCGGGCACGTTGGATAGGGTGCCATTAGGTGTGGTTCCAAGTGGCATTCAGATAGAACGGTCTGGTGGCTATATATAAGGCTTAGACCCTAGCATAAGGGTAGGGACATAAGTCGCTCAGGTCAGTCCGCGCTCCGCCTGGCCTTGGGTAAGCTAGGGGAAGGACGGTAAGACTGCTTCAATGGGTGCTTCCCTGTCTGAACCTAGGGTCTATGGTGTCTTCGGACGCATGGTAGATTGCCTGGGCCTGGCATCCGGGAAATTCCCGTTCGACAAGGCTCGTCCAATTCCGCTTCCAGCAGGGCAGGGCAACCTATGAGCCCTGGTGCCTATCACTGCTGTCACACTGAGGTAGGATAGTGGGATAGGGGGTGCGCTAGGAGTATCGGCGTGAGGATAGTGGGGGTAATGGTCCCGAGTGCTGGTCACACTGAGGTAGGATAGTGGGATAGGGGGTGCACTAGGAGTATCGGCGTGAGGATGGGATAGGAGGTGGTCTCATATTGCAGGACACCCACGGCTCACAGCTCCAGGTGATCACTGTGCACTCAGTGACTGGCCTCTACAACACCCTGGAAAAATTTAAAAAAGAAAAGAAAAAAAGAAATAAAGAAACATCAATCCCTCCAATAGCAAGCCCATGCAAAAAGGATGTCAACAAGAAAATACATTCCATGCATACCTGGAGAAAGAGACTTGTCAATCTTGGGCATTGCAGCTTCAACGTCACTAAGGAGACACAATTGCTGCACGCAACAACATTATAATTCCGCATGTTCAGGACAGAGTTGTAATCCATCCGTGTTCATACTCTGGAAATAAGTTGGACAAACTTCCATGCATGATGAGAGAACTCGCTGAATGTAACATCACAGTAACATAACCGTAACATAACAGTGACATAACAGTAACATAACAGTACCATAATGGTAACATAACAGTAACATAACAGTAACACAACGGTAACATAATAATGCAGAATAGTGACCGGTAGCCATGCTGTGAAATCGGGGGTTTCATAATTCTGTCCTTTCAGCTCCATTGTAGCGATTGGTACTCAAGGACCTGCAAACAGTGCGCAAAAGCTATGCGCCACTAGGACAAGAGCGCACCGATATGAGCCGTAGCAGGTAGTAGGACCCCCTTGTTCTTTCCCATCCCCTTGTTCCTTCCCGCTTCAAGAAGTTCTGCTCCCGAGGTCATCGTGCTGCTCTTTCACATATTTCTTCTCCTCCTCTTGGCCTCCTCCCCCCACGACAGAGAGCTTGAATCCAATATCAAGTTATCAACACCAGAAACTGATCAAAAAATACAGTTAAGCACAGAGAGTGACAAACTCGACCATTCACCATACAATAATCACGGCTTGAGCAGAGGGCCATGCTCTTTTCTTCTTTTTTTTTTTCACAATTCACCCCTTCCCGAGTGGAGGGCCAGGAGGGTCATGCAATCCCTATGACACGAAGAAGGCGAGGGACAATCTGTCTCATTTCACAACGCAAGACTTGCCTTCGAGGCAACGTTGCAGCTTCCACCGTCCATAGCCCACATACATTCTTCTCTACACGACACTGTATTCGCATCAAGGAGGGACAGAGAGTAGCCACGCTGACAAACCCCAAGTTCCGAAATTTGAAGTGTCATACCATATGTTGCCTTCTGGACCCCTGCACTGACAACATGCATTCACCTAAATGTAACCAGACCATTCTCAGAAGGGAAGGGGAGGAGGGGGGGAGGTGGGGGAGAGAGTGGAAATCCCCACAGATCCAATGGAAATAACATCTTTTTTTTTTTTTTTTTAACTACACTATGTTCTTCTCTCAAATTCTTTTTTGGATATAGGGTACCAAGGGCCGATAGTGAAGCTATTTTCCTTTACTCTTCAATAGGTTACGCACAATGCTGCTGGGGTTCTAGGGCTCATGGCATGATGGTTTCACTGATTCACATCATTCAAGCCCCACAAAACAAAAACATAAACGCATACAAGGCCACATTAGGTTATCAAATTGATTGAACTACGATGCGATGCCAGACAGAGACTATCTGATCTTTGTGATCGACTATTAGGATGCCTGCACGATTAACGAGGCCGAGGAATAGTAACCAAAAAATAAACTTACTTACCTCAAATTAAGCGACCGCAGATTAGAGCACGCTAGCCGCACTTCCCTGAGGTTCCTTGAGAGAGAAAGGTTGAGACACGTCAAGTCGTTGCATGACGCATTCTCCAGAACAACAGCACACCTTATTGACTTGCACCCAACGCAAATAAGCGTCTGCAAAGCCCTTGAATCGTCATCACTCATCAATGGTTTCCCGAGCTCGCCAGCACGCCGTAGGATCTCCGTATCAGTTCTGACGGTTCCAACAAACTCCGGTCCAAGCACATCGGGACTCAAGTCCAGGCTGTCTAGACTCATATACCCATCTTCATTAGCCAGCAGCTGGCAATGAGCCACGTCCGCTCTTGCATTTCCAATCTTTCTCGCGCATGCCAAGGGATACCTCGATCCACAAGCTGACGACATCACCGAATCCTCTCCCTCTCTCTCAGAAGCCTCAGCTGCATCGATGTCCATGTACTGGAGGCCCACCACGGGTTCATCTTCCTGGGCTGGACTCTGTAACCTCACTTGTTCAAGAATTCTCTCCCCTGAGTAAAGATCCAAAGCAATTCCTTGATCTGAAGTCAACCTTTTCTCAATCTCCTCCCCAATCTGTGCATCCGAGAGATCATCGGAATCCGATGCAAGTGGCCTCCCTGATATACGATCCCACACTAGATCTGTTACGTTCTCACACCCGCTGAGGTTCACAGACACTAGCCTGGGACATAGCGCCAACACACTGCCGAGCGCAGCATTACTTAGGTTGCAGTAAGAGACATCTAGCTCTCTCAAGTTCATGAGCGCCTGGCTATCGTAGAGTGGGGCAAGAGCGGCATCGTCAAGCCATTTGCAAGCCGATACGCGAAGCACCTGCACAGAAAATGAGAAAACCATATGTAAGTTTCCCAAAAGTGGTTCTTCTAAGCGCCCAGCCTAGAGATAGACATGACATTCAATGGTACAATTCGCTGCAAAGCTCGAGAATTGATACTTCGCCTAGGTAACGAGAGTTGCCTCGACCCGCCGGCCCATCAAACCCTACATGTCCCCAGGTCCAGCCTCACCTATGAATTCAGCGATGTCCCCCGTTCGGGGTTCTGGAGGGTACAAACCGGGTTTAATGAGCTTCGAGGGGCCTTAAAGATGTGCTGCAGTTTCCTTTTTTTTTTTTCTTTTTTCTTTTTTCACTTATCGAGGGACTTCAACGTGCCCCTCAGCCAAAAGTTGTTTGATTTGCATTTTTCACAACACATAGTTTACTTTCCAATTGTTTTGAAAATTTATGATTCTTTTATTTTATATTGGGGCTGCCTAGGACCTTGCCTGGACCTATGATTCTTTTATTTTATACTGGGGCTGCCTAGGACCTTGCCTGGACCTGGCACGGCCAGCCCACCCATGCCCCCCCCGCCCAGATTGCAGCTCAGATCATCATGTAACAAACTGCGTTTTATCCGTTTCCCCTGCTGATGGTGTTGCTCCCCCTCTTTACTTCCCATACAGTCCCTCCCCATCATCCTCCATACTTCCCACAGCTTCTTCTTCCCAATCCACCCACCAGTCCTCCCCTCTGACATTGTAATTATTCATACTTTTTCAAACTCATCAAATGATCAAAATCATCCTAGGCGTCACAACTCAAACTCATCACAATCCTCATATGAGGGGAGATGTGATATAGTTTACGTCTGTCAGATCCTCTCCACCAACCTCGTCACAATCTCATCCTTGCAGACGTTTTTCAATTCTTGTGAACAGAAAAAAAAGAGAAGATTTACTACTCCGTCTTCCCCCTTCTGCCCACCAATCCCCTCAGCATCATCATACTTCCAATGATTTCATCATTTTCATACCAGTGCTCATGCATTGTGTTACTTCCAAAATGACTGCACACCAATTGGCTTATGGCATAAGAGGAGCAGGTAAGCAATTCCACTGCATCAGTTTTGGTTCTCCAGAACTGCAATTGAGCAGATGGAAATCCCCCCCTCTTTTGACTTCCCTTTGCCCCTCCTGGCCTCCAATCTCCTCAGCATTTTTGCTGCTCCTATGATTCCGTAGCAACGCCGGCCTACCGTACGTACTCCAACCTAGCCCACCCGTCCTAACCAACGTGTACAGTCCACATGTTAGCTATCCATCTTATGTGTGCATCAGAACCTAGTGTATGTCATCGGATCAAGATCATGGTCTGTATATGCAACAGTTAACCCCTCTTTCTTGTCATCAAATAATCAACTAAAAGGCTCCGCGCCTCCGTCGCCAACTGGAGTCCCCCTATCTCTGTCAAAACTTCAAGATCAATGCCTCGGTCATCAACTGGAGCACCTTAATCTCCACTCATCAACCACCAACCCCTGTTAACCCCTCTTTCAAGTCATCAAATAATTGACTAAAAGGCTCCACGCCTCCGTCATCAACTGGAGTCCCCCTATCTCTGTTTATCCCTCAAGATCAATGCCTCTGTCATCAACTGAAGCACCCTAATCTCCACTCATCCACCACCAACCCCTGTTCCTTGTCATCAACTGGCACACCGATCCAGTCTCAATCATCAAGAGAAGACTCCCCACCTCCGTCATCATCATGTGAGTGCCGCATCGCATGAGCAAAATGCATTCATCAGCTGTAAGCTGGACCACACCATGCTGGGGGACAAGCGCGCAGAGTATCACACTAAAACCGACTCGGCTTGCGCACGAGCGAACGAGGACCGACCAGAGTGGAACCCACAACCTTTCCTAGACATCCATCCAGAGGTCTAACTACCACGACTTGTCCCATCCTAATTTCTCTTTCGTTTTTGGTTTCCGAAGTTGCACAATTTCGCAGCTTTGTTTCTACTTCGCTTTTCACTGCCGACATTCATGTATTGGTACGATTTTATTGCTGTGCTCAAAATGCTCTTAAATTTCCATGTTCTATCAGCTTGAATTTTCATGCTTCACCTTTATTCTTTCCAGGGAAGCGGTCGCGATTGCCACCTCTCATGACAAATTCGGAAAGTGTTCTCAACTTTCCATTCCTGTCTTAATAATTTTTATAAACTCTCACATTTCACCTTCGTTCGTTTGAGGGAGTAGACAGCCACTGGCACTCCTCGCGACAAAGAGCTGCAACTCCACCTGAATACACATCCAAGTACACAGGTCGTCTGCCTTGGCGTCGGCAGCTCCTGGTCCGTTCTGACAATAGCTACTCGGAATTATGATTTATTTTTTTTTGCACGACTGCTCCCAACAAAGCGTGAGGGCTCCAGCCGTATACACGCTGTAGAAAGTGTGGGCCTACCGGCCAAGGGGGAGAGCAAGGGAAGCCGGAGGCACAAGGCAGCGGTGTACAATTTTTTTAGCTCGCCGACTTTCATGATTTTTGGCTCTCGTCATTTTTCTGACTGGCCCCAAGCCATCGGAAAAGGCAAAACAAAACAGAGTAAAAAGAAAAGAAAACGTTCAGGGGAAAAAACAACAACAAAAAGTTGGGGAAAAAAAAGCAAACACAAAAGAAAACACCAACCCTGCCTCACCTACAATTTGTTGGGACTCATTCTGAGCCTTCACATCTCACACACCAATTACACAGAACTACAACAGACACATCCAGACATCAATCACCACGTCCAACAGCAGAAACGCAAAAAACACAAACTGCCAATACCCTCTTAGCCCAAATCAACAGATAGAGAATCTATCCGAACATCGCACCAGCCAAGACAGACGTGAGTGCTATCAACTACCGCTCTATGTTTCTAAGCATTTCAGCTTTCTTGAATCCTTGTGTTCTCCTTTTCTTCTTCCTAGATTGCCTTTTTTCGCTATGTGAAATTTTCTGCGTATTTTCCCATTCCTCTGGTTTCTTTCTATTGCTACTTGTTTTTCACCCTCCGTATGCATAGCCGGGGATATGGAACACTGCCTTTTTGTACAACTTGTTTTTCATTGTTTGAATTCATAGCTTGGGACATCGGCTCCAAGGCCTGTGCCTCCAGATCCCTTGTCAATGTGCCCCCCAAGAGTGATGGCTACCAGCAAATCATGCACCCCAGAAAAAGACGCTTTTTGACTGCATGCGTCATGCCTACTTACTCCAGTGCTCATGGGTAAGCATAGATTCACCATAGGGCAGGGTTGCATACCCGCCGACCACCAATCATTTCGCAGTTTACAGGTAAGGCCAACCGGTCTGCGGTCTGCCGACCAGTCATTAAACAGCCATCCACTCAAATCTGAATATGGGGCTGTACTGCGATTGCTGAGTATGGCCCAAATTCGCTGAGAAACCTTTGGGGAAGATTGAGGCGGGCGG